TCAAACCAACTTGTTTTTCTACCATTCTTCAACTGAAATGCATCAGTCTGGTCCATACAATAAGGACATGCTAATCGACCATGAGTTGTCCATCCAGAAAGCATAGCATAAGCAGGAAAGTCACTTATTGTCCACATAAGCACAGCTCGTAAGGTAAAGTTTTCCTTAGTAGAAATATCATAGGCCTCAATCCCGTTAACCCACAGATCCTTTAACTCTTCTATCAGTGGCTGAAGAAATATATCGAGACTTCTCTTAGGATGATTAGGACCAGGGACTAGAATGGTTAGAAACATCAATTCTTGTTTCATGCACATCTCAGGTGGCATATTATACGGAGTCAGAATTACAGGCCATAGCGAATAGTTATGTCCTGACATACCAAATGGATTAAAACCATCTGTGCATAACCCAAGGTAAATATTTCTTGACTCAGATGCAAATTCAGGATATACCTCACGAAAATGTTTCCATGCTTCTCCATCTGAAGGATGACACATTTCTCCACCATTCATCGAATGTTCTGCATGCCATCTCATATTTCTGGCAGTATTATTAGATTGATATAATCTCTTCAGTCTATCTCCAACCGGCAAATAAAACATTTTGTTGTATGCAACCTTTTTTTGTCCAGACTTTTGGGTAGGTCGATATCTGTCTTTTTTGCAGAATAGACAGTTTTCTAGGTTTGCATAATCCTTCCAAAATAGCATACAATTATCTTGACAGACATCAATTTTCTGGTAAGGTAAACCTAAAGACCGCATAAGCTTCTTTATATCATAGTAAGAATTCATTGAATTGTTACCTTGTGGCAAATACTCTTGCATCAGTTGAGAAATCGAATCCATACAATTTTGAGGCAAATTATAATCTGTCTTCAAACTCATGAGCCGAGCTGCTAAAGAAAGTTGTGAAAGACCTTCTTTACATCCATCATAAATTGGATGTTTTGCAGCATCCAAAATATTGTAGAACCTTTTAGCTTCAGCATTAGGCTCTTGTTCCATATTCTCATCGAATGAAGTTTCCTTATTACTATCAGCATATGCATCTGATACCATTGACACATAAGGATTTATTGTCTCGGTTTGAGGGATAAAAACAGAAGCATCTTCACTAACAGTTATATTCTCAAGATTGTTTAGAATATTATAATTTTCTCCATGAGAAATCCAAACCCAGTAGTTGCATGTGAAACCCCTATTATATAGATGACTCCACACAGTTTTTTCTTCCAGTAATCTTCCATTGTCACACTTATAACATGGACAAAATAGCTTGCCATTCTCAAGAAATAGAGGTTGATTCTTTGCAAATTTCATAAAACTCTCTAAACCTTGACAAAACGTTTCTGAAACTTGATTAGAGGAACCATCGATTCTTTCATACATCCACTTTCTTGCAATTTTAATATTATTATTGAATGACATTCTTTTCTACAGCAGAGAGCTTCTTTTTTCTTCTCCTCGAACAGTAGATGGCTTGAGAATCTCTCTTTACTCTTCTCAATGATTATATGTAGATGGCTTGGACTTCAAAAGTCTCGTAAGTATGGTATGTATAAAAAGATTAGGATTCTCATTGATAATATAAAAAGGAAATAATAAATATATTCCATATTAGATAAGGATTACGGTCCTTATAAACAGTTATGCAATCAATAAAATATGTAACATTAACATGTTTTGAAAAGAATTTCTCTCTTTTTTTTTTTAAACACTGTGATTGTTATACGACTATTTTTGTAGACACAAGGGTTGAGTCAATCGTGAAAAAGTAAACATGAGATATTTGGTTTTAATTAGTTACAAAAATATTACATCAAAATTCACAAAGAAAATATATCTTTCGTCGGTTTTAGTTAATGACTAAAAGTGAGTCACATTTACGTAACAAATAGAGACTTATCTTTCTGTCACGATTTCGTATCAATTTGTGATGATACATATAGTCACGATACCGTCACGACCGTTACGTTTATTATTGTAGTAACAATTACGTCTTTAGTTGTGACTGAATATAGCAACGACTTACATCGTCATAATATAGTGACGAAATAACTACAGAATTAAGACGAAAAAAAACAGTCACAACAACGTATCAAAAACGTCACTAACTTTGTGACCAAGACAGTTCGTCTCAAGAGGTCGTCACAATGCATCCTTTTTTTTGTAGTGAATAGGGTTTGATTTAAGGTTTGGTGTTTGGCGTTTATAGTGTATGTGTTTGATTGAGTTTAAAATTTTATTTTATTTTCAATTAGAAATCATAGTTATTGTGTATATGTTAGAACTTAGAGTTAAAAAAAACTAACGATATAAGTTTTATAAGTAATTAAGTTATTCATTCACATTTATAAAGACAATGATATAAGATCAACAAAATAATTAGATTTCACATTTTATAAGTAATTTTAAATTGATCAAAACTAACGATATAAGTTTAACAAAATGATATAAAATTTATAAAATTATTAGATTTCACTTTTTAAAGCAATTTTAAATTAAGTAAAAGTAATGATGTAAGATTAATAAAATTAAATGATTTTAGGTTATATTTATATTTTTTGGTTTATAATTAAACCCAGCATATTCTAAGCCCCAATCCTAATATGTAAGATTATATTTATATTTTATGGTTTATAATTAAAATTTTAAGATTACAAGTATAAAATGAAAAGATTAGTGTTTATGATATAGGGTCTGGTGTTAGATATATATATTTTTTTTTAAAAATAGATAATTTAAGTTGAAAATGTTTTATATATCTTAGGTATATATTAGAGTTTATATAAGGAATATGTTTTAGTTTAGTAATTTTATTATTTGTAGTAATTAGATTTTTGACTTTATATGTAGGGTTTGAATTTGGGGATTAGGGTTTAGCTTTAGGGTGTAGATTTAAAATTTGGTTTTTAAGGTTTTGATTTTAAATTGGAGATTATGTTTCAAAATTATTAAATTTTGAGTTTAAGTTTAAGATTAAAATTATATTATGAAAATATTGAAAATTTTAAAATTTATGTTTAGAATTTTAAAACATGTTTAGGGTTTAGGGTTTTGGCTTTTTTTAATTACAAAATACAAATAAGCAAAAAAAAAGTTTTTAGAGATTTTAAAATGATTAAATTTTGAAACTTAAGATTAAAGCTAACTTTTTCCTTTGATAAAATTCGAATTATTGAGCGATCATAACAAATATTATTTACAAATCAAAATTTAAACTTAATCTTTATCTATACATTTTACATTGAATGTTTAGAGGTATTTACACTAACATTATATAAGTATTATACTAACAACATAAGTCTTGCCAAGTATTAGTTGATAACATGATCTGCTCCTTTCCGTGTCTAAGCTGATATCTATCACATGTGAAGCTCCTGATTGAATTTAACTGGATCCTTTAAGCTTCAAGCAGCCTCCTCACTGAAAAATATTACCTGCTCAAAATATGGAACTGCCTCTGTGGCTGATTTGTGACCAACAGAGAACTGTGTCCAAGCAGGAGTTGACCAAAAGATGTGTGTTTAGGAAGAGAAGGAACAACAATAACTTAAGCTCCAGCAGCTTTACCTGCCAAAAAACCAGGCCTGCCAATTTTATTATCATTTTTATCCTTTAGTTTTACATTTACCACTAGCCACAAAATATACACAATTAAAACCTAGTTAAGTCACTCATATCAGCAGTTCCACGGCAAGCACCACCACGAATACGAGCAGCAGCAATATGTAAATCTACTCTTAGTCGCATTGGCCACTTCATAGGTTGTGACTCCCCTGAAACATATTAACACTTTCTGTCTCAAGAGCTTGATGTAACCATACGTAGAGAGCCATAAACGAGAGAAGAAAGTTAAATCTTACAATGGAAAAGATGCTTAGCCAGAGTTTCGTTAAACCTGACAAGAATCAGGCCAAGCTTTCCTGTTAAACCTCTTGACATAAATACGTCTTTGGTTATCAAGTTTCCCTTCCATGCTCTGATACTATATTCTCTGTAGCAAAACCTGATGTAACGTTACTTAGCGTAGAGGCAGATCATTCCCTTCACCTATCCTATCATCACCACCTGAGAGAAAAACCCAAATCCACAATTTAACAACAACAAGTGCTCCGAGTACGATTGGAAAGTAAAAAGGATACTGGTTTAATACTATTACTACCTACAAACACTGTCCTGAACAGAGTTCCTAATCCTAAGAGTTGTAATATCTACAAGTACACGAATTTTTGAGATATATAGCTTCTCTCAATGTGGGTTTACGATAATAAGTGATAGATTCCACAAACACCATCTAAGAACTGTAGTTTTGACCAAAAGTGCTTCGAGTATAATTGGAAATTTCAGGACCCAACTCGTTACCGTGAGGCTTGAGCTCAGTGAAAAGCCATGAGAGTCAAAAAGAACTGAACTTTATATAAACTTAACCCAAGTCAA